AAAAAGAATTTAAAACCGGCAGTTACATTTCAAGAAAGCCCCCAATCAAATTAGCTAGCGACAAGTTTCTATATAACAGAATCAAGTGATATGCAACATAGGACTTTTTTCTCCAGAGGCCACTCACAGTGATATGCAAATAAGAGTCAGGAGAGACTTCATGATTACCATATCATTTGCATGTGGTCTTTGCACTGAGCTGTGATCAGACCACTAGCGGTGACATTCCTCCTTAATCTTTAAAATTTTTCATCAACCCCTATATTCGGGGTATTTAAAGGAAATGAGAAGAATCATAGGACTAGGAAATCTTTTGTGTAGGCACTCTTTGGAAACCTGATCAGAAATAAGGCAATATTATCTTTATACTTAGGAAATTTTTTTATCAGGAGGACTCCCTAAAATCCACACAGGCTTTATTATTTCAGGTGTAGGTTCCAAACCAAGAAAAGTGAAGAAGTCAGGAAGGCAGCTCCAAGGGCCACTGTCAGCAGCCTTTGTGACCTACGGCAGGGGCTGGCCAACCTTCTCTATAAAGGGCCAGATACTAGATATTTCAGATTTTGCAGACCGTATGGTCTCACTGCAGCTACTCAACAAAAGCGACCCGGTGAATACGTGACAAATGGGCACGGATGTCCCGCAAAACTTCATTAACGACAACAGACAGCAGACCTGGTGGTTTGGTCGGCAGGCCACCCGTCTGCCAGTCCCCTTGGACAGGGCGCTTGATTTTATACAAACGAGAGGTTTCACTGCCATCTGCTGGCTAGAGGTTTTACCACAAGCTGCGAAATTCACGCTGCGGGCTATGGAGCAGCTCTGAGCAGGAGCAGAGCCCGGGTCCGGCCCGGGTCACACAGCAACAGGGCTGCGGCTACATGGAGCACCCATGCCCCGCTGGAGAGGGAGACGCAGAACCCGAAGCAGGCTCCAGGCTCCGAGCTGTCAGCACAGAGCCCGACGCGGGGCTCGAACTCACCAACCGCGAGATCCTGACCTGAGCTAAAGTCACACGCTTCACTGACTGAGCCATCCCGGGGCCCCTAAAACAATGCTGTTTTCAAATACTGTGCCAAGCAAAAAGGTTTATGTGGCACATGGCTGAGTGTGCCCTCCAGAGCATTGTCACAATGGCCCCGACCTCCGTCGGACCTAGTCAGAACCTTTCGGACATAAGTCATGGACTCAGATATTTGCAAGCCTCAAATCAGGATCGTAAGGAAATCTATAGTCATACAGTCACTGGTACACAACAGCAGTGGTTATTATCAGAGCAGCTGGAATATTAAAACATCCCAAATCCCAAGAGATCGTTTCTTCCAACCTCCTGACCATTTTGAACACAGATTCTATTTTCTTTCCAGTACACACGTGTGCGCACGCTGTCACATAGAGAAACTGTGCTGATGAGTTTGGATGCTATGGGCTCACCTCGCTGGCTCAGTCGGTGGAATATCGGACTCTTGATCTCAGGGTCATGAGTTCAAGCCCCATGTCCGGTGCAGAGATTACTCAGTGCGTTTGAGTGCGACAGGTGAACATCCTGGTACGTCTTTGTCACAGTTTGATAAAAATTCCCAAGGGAAGCAGACAGTGCACAAACAGTATCAATGCAAAACCCAAATCAAGTACAAAGCCCTTCCCGAACCTTCATCTGTGGCTCCTTAGGCTCTAAAAGTTTGAATAAAAGGACTCAGAGTGTTCACCTGGGGTCAGATTGTAATGAAACCCCTGCAGCTTCTATCGCGCTGGCTAATTGAACGCTGGTTTGAAAGGCAGGTGGTGGAGTCACCTGTCCCACATTTTTGCAGTTCACACAAAGATCATGAGCTGGTACCGGGCTGCAGACCCCATCTGGGCCCATGTTCTCTGGCCTGCACAGGTCATAACACATTGGCAATTGACTGTCACTATTCAAATAACCTCAAAAGTTCTGTAAAGGTGCCGATTTCTCTGTTCTCCTGTAAAACTGGAAAACACACCGGGCCCATCTTCTGCCCCAGGGTCCCTGTGATTCACCAGGGACCAACCCACACCCACCTGTGCCCTGTCCCGCTGTTTGCGCGTCCTCCCTGGCCCAGAGAGACATGAGAGTTCGAGACCTTCATTTATTTGTTGCCTTTTGACACGTGTTCAGATATTAATCTACCTCTTCTTAACCGATGCACATACCATGTATGTGACTACGTTAGAATTAAGATGGAAAAAAACAATGCTGACTTGCCACTTGCTCTGGGAACCTACATCCTTAAATAGGTAAATCGCACGGGCTGGAATCAATCCTCTGGACGACCTGTTTCCATCGTATGGTATGTGCCTTGGAAACGGTCATGGCGGCAGGATTTCTTCTCCCGGGTAAGAATATACGAGAAAAGAAAGGAGCTTTAATGCCAGTCCCTCCCTCCACTAGCCACGCGATCTTAAGCAAGTACTTGGCCTCTAAGGGTCTCGGGTTCCGCGGTGACTGAAATGGAGAACACAGTCCTCCGTTTGGCTCTTGCCAAATCAAACTGCTGCCGGGAGAACCAGATGAGGCAACATGCCGGATGCCGGTAGGGTGTGACGCAAACATTTGGTGCCAATCTGTGACTTCCTGAAATACCCGAAAGTCAAATCTGATAAATGAGTTGCATGCCTATGTTTTCCTTGGTTTTAAACAAGTGCTGCTACCGTTCAAGGCAATTCAGCAAAAGGATTCGGGAGGCATTGAGTCATGGAGCCCCTCTGGAGTGAGGCTAAAGATTCCCAGGAGGGTAACTTGGAGGTGAAGGGCACCCACGGAAGCTGATTCACCTGCTGTCTCCTACCGCCCCTTAGGCACCAGCTACGCGGCTTCCATTTTGGTCTCTGCCCCGGCTCATTTCTGTCTCAGGACCTTTGCACTTGCTGAACTCCCTATGGAGAATCTTTTCCTGGGACTGCAGAATGGCTGCTTTTCCTCAGACTGCAGGTCTCGAGGTAATGCTACAGGCCCCTGTTATAGATGCCCTACCTAAAGAAGCCCCTCTTGTCTTCTGATCGTTCCCAGACCAATAACTCTGCTTCACCGCTCTCCATGACAGATAACGTTTCTTTTCAATGTGACCAAATTTGATATTAAATACATTTGTGTAATTATTGCCCGTGACTCCGTTAGGCTTTCGGCTTTAGGACGGCAGAAGCATGCCTGTCTAGCAGCCTGTGTGTCCCCGTCACCTAGCACAGTGCTTGGCATAGAGCAATGCTCCAAGAACACTCACCAACTGAACGAGAGAGTGAGTGGGTGAATGAATAGAGAAACAAAGACCTCACCTACCAGTTGGGTGACCTTGGACCTCACTACTAACCCTTCAAATTCTTAGTTGCTTAGTTGCAGACGAGAATAATATACTCTCGCATGGCTGTTTTAAGGACTGAGATCATGTATGATAAGAACTCAGTGCAAAGCCTTCAATACAGCAGGCCTTCAAGAAAGGGTATCTTTATAAAAAAAATACTCATTCAGTATGTCGTGTCTGCCTTGTGAGGAACAAATCTAGCACTTGACTGGTGGTATATTAATGTTCGCTTACATAAAAAAGGAGAGAAGAGGTTTCACGTTCAAATAAGATTGCCGAGCCCTGGTTTCAACAAGATTAAACAGACTCTTCATGGCAGGACATCTCAAAATCTTGAAAATAGTGACTGGCATTCTTAATCTCTAAAAAAGGAGAATGTCCCTGAACATGTAGCATTTTCCCCAAACTTACTGCACCACAGCACTAGTTTGGGAAAGGGCCATCTCCACCCGGGTGAGTACTCCACAGACCACAAGTGGGAAAACACCATTCTGTGGTTCTGTTATGCGACGCACTCCTGAAAGAATCCTGCGCACCCAGCGTTCAACTTGCTAAATGCTTCTCTTTCTTAAATTTCTTCCAGTGTTCATGATAAACCTCTTTTACATGTTGATTTTGTACATGCTCAACCCTAGAAGGGAATTTCTATGTGAAAATTAGAAATGGGGCAGGAGAAGCAGTGATTGTGGATTAAATATGGCTTCATACGCCCAGCATGGGTCAAAGTCAGCACCTCTTCCCCACCTAAGACAGCAAGGATAAGAGAACAATTCCAAAACTAACCAGCAGGTGGCTCTGTAGGACTAAATTCGGAGAGGAAATGGCAAATTCTCCAACCTGACGGGCAAATTCTCCCATAAGGGTCTAGGTGCTTTCCAAGACTGACCTCCCGACCACAGGAAAAGTCATCCTGACATATGTCCAGGCAAATGAGCCGGCCAGAGGAATCACAGCTCATAAGAACCATCAAAACAAGAAGAAATGATGTGTCATGTAACCTCAGGCAACAGGGTAATGGTGTCATGATTTTTTCCCCCAGTTTCAGCTTTAATCCAGGGGTGGGAGAAAGGGAAGGAGGAAGATGGGAGGAAGAGGTGAAACGATAGATGAACTCATCCTATTTTTCACGTAACTGACCACCTTGGAGAAGCAAGATCAATTTTAGGCAGTCTGAGAGAAAAAACAATTTAAGGTAACACATTACTGGTAAACTGAGTCCCACACTACACACAGACCATATGTTGGTACTGTATCTCAGAGAGTAGTGGTGACTCAAAGATAAAATAGACACATTGACACAGAACCCGCAGGCGAAGAAATCTCTCAGTGAACATTGGTACAAACAAAGTATCAAAACAAAACACTTGTAACGGAAGTATGTGAAAGCAAACAGGCTGCTCGAGTAACTGTTACAAAAACACAAAGCCAAAACACCCCAAATAATTCTGAAGCAGTTGCAATGCCACTTTCACCCACACAGATAGTATAAGATAGCAGGATATTTCACCAAGTACGCCACACAGGAAAACTGCAAGAACTCAAACGGAAATGTGTGTGTTCAGTGAAGATCATACTATGTAACAAAAAGCGGGCAACGGAAGTTTTAACTATCATCTTTAAAACCCTATATGTTATCAATACAAAGCTGGATAATCCGCTCTGTGTGCAGAAAATCTGCGGTGTTCATTCTCATGACTGGCATCAATTTCATTAGAAGCCACGCCATCACTATCTTCAAATTGCTGTTTTGTAACTACGATTCCTGGGTTCCCTTGAAAAATCTATACCAAGAAATTTGAACCTAATTTTACAGTAATACCTCATTACTTTTGAGTGATGGAGGATGGGGATAATTAATAATAAACCTAATAATAAAGGGAATAAACCCAAGTTTAATTGCGACGAGTTGTTGGATTTGCGGCATGCTGGTTTTGATACAAAATAACGGGAACTTCTCAAAGAATGCAAACTTCTTTCTTTGCTGTGATGCCTTGTATTGTTCTGCTCTGCTTCCAGAGGTAGCATTATCACTATCATCTATTCTTTTGGAATTAGTGGATTACTCGTCTTTGACAATCATCCCAGACCCATGAGCGGAGCATGGCCCTCCAACCATAATACGGGCTTTTTGCACGCAAGTAAATTTGCAAATTTTGTTGCCGTTGAAAAAAAAATGTGTCTGTATCCTGTAAATAAAGCCATTTTCTTCATAGCAACCAGATGCAGACATTGTCGGAATACTCGTGTATACTCTAAGAGCATACTAACAGTGGGTAACAGCATCTACAAAATCCTCTTTTAACCTAAAAAGATGTTTTAAAGTATTATTACACAATCAGGGTCCTGATAAGACCCTTGGGCTTTATCCTTTCTGATGAATGACTATTCATTTTGGTCAAGGATAGTTAGATTAGTTAAAGATAGAAAGGTGAGTATGTTCTATGTTCCGAGGATTCTTAAGCTCTGGGATGTTCACTAATAAATACTAAAACTTCCAACACATCCCAAGTGTTCAGGACGTCCTCACTCTCAGCGCATCTTTGCAAACACACTAATCTAGGGAAACCCTGAGATACATCAACTTTGATGCAAACTGACTTCTCAAATTACCACACTGTATCACAAGAACTAAGATCACCTCCCAATTTCCTCCCTATGAAGCCTACATCACTTTGGTTCTCGACTCTATTTTACATCCAGGCACATAGAATCTAAAAAGACATCCTTTTTTTGGGTAAAGATCCTCCTGGCAAGGGTAGGGAAAGTCAAGTTCCAAAGCAATTCAATAGCTCTGTGTACATGTACGTTATGCATACTTCTTTCAAACTTTCAATAATTGCTATTTATCTATCGTATTTTAAAAATACATATAGCCAGTTGCTATAATAGTATGAAGGCAGTAAAATACAATTTTCTTTACAAAAATAAATTTATTTAAGTAGAAGAGATGGCAAAAAATTGAGTATAAGAGGTGTGATAGGAGAAAAATGCTCATGACATAATTCCAATATTGCAGAAATTTCTGAACATGATATGGGAACAATGGTGTTTCTGACAACCTGATCTAACCCAACCCTCTCTCTGTGGGTATGTTCTGGAAAGTAAGCACAGTGACGGGGCAGTCACTCACATAGGCACTCGGGATATGGCCACTGAGAAGGGCGAAAAGGAAGGATGAGTGATGACGAAACAGCGCCATTTACGGCCGAGGCCACTGTCTTCTGTGGTCATTCATTCGTCCTTACATCCATTTATTCAGCCCATTTCTGCACACGAACTAGGTGCTGTCGAGCACACGCCCTTCAATGTTCTGGGATTTTCCAGCTCATCATGGAAAGTTCTTCAGCAGGGACCCCTCCACATAGACCTGTTTACTTTTTAGAAGTATGCAGGGGCACCTGGGTGGCTCAGTCATTAAGCGTCTGACTTCAGCTTAGGTCATGATCCCATGGTTCATGGGTTCGACCCCGTGTCGGGCTCTCTGCTGTCTGCACAGAGTCTCTTTGGATCCTCTGCCTCCTCCTCTTTCTGCCCCTCCCCTACTGGTTCTCTCTCTCTCTCTCTCTCTCTCTCTCTCAAAGTAAATAAAATAAACCTAAAAAGCTCCATATGCACCAGGTATTCTTACATACTATAAAACATAAAAACTACATTTGAAAAGGTAAGAAATGTCTGATTTTTTTCCCCCTAATTGTTCCCATTGTCCCCTCCCTGGATTATTCTGTATCCTGCTTCTAAGACCACTTTCCGGAAGACAGGATGTGTTGAGATGTGCTGAGAGTGCCGGCAGAACTAGAACCCAGGACCCGGACCCCGGTGCGTCCCTTTCCAGCAGCACATGGTTGCAAAGCTCGGGCCCTCGTGAGAGTCGCCTGGAGGGCTTGATGACACACAGACGGCTGGGCCCTGACCTCACAGCTCCCGATTCTGCAGGTCCCGGGAGCAGCCTGCAAATCTGCACGCTAGCAAGCTCCTGAGGGATGCTGATGCCGTTCGCGCTCAGCACCCTAGACCACCTCTCGCAGCGTGGACGCCAGCCCTCTTGCCCACACGGACCTCTGGGGTCGAGGGCCCAAGACTCTGCGCGGTGACAGAGCACGCGCCCGGCAGTGAGGCCTCGACGGGGGCCCCGGCTCGGGCAGGAAGCGGGCAGCCGGCCCGGCCGAGCCCCCTGCGCAGAGGCCAGATGCACCGCCTGCCCCCGGCCCCGCGCTTACCTTGCAGGCGGCAGAGCTGCCCCGCGCTGTGCTGACGCGTGATGTGCTGCCAGTAGGCGCTGCGGGGCAGAGGCGCCATGGTGCTCAGCGAGGCAGCCCGCTGGCTCATCTTCATCTGGAGCTGCAGCGAAGAGAAGAAAATGGAGCGTCAGCGACCCCGGGGCTGGAAACCACCTGGCAGAGAGCCGGAGGGCTGGCGGTCAGGACCATGGACAGCTGGCGGGCAAATCAGCGAGGGCTTCCCGGTGGGGGCCACGGCTACTGTGTTTGCCTACTGAACAGCATCGCTTCTTCACCCTGCTGGCAACGGCGTGTCCCTCTTCCTCTGGGGAACCTCCCTCCGCCTCAGCTCAATCCATCTAGTTACACGGTGGAGACCTCACCATTGATTCTTGGGGTGGTCTGGTGACCCAAGCCAGGACAAGAAGACACAACCCCTGGGAACATTTATCAGCACTTTTGCAAAGAGAGCATCAGTAGAGGTGAAGCCAAGCGTTTCTGCCTGCTTTGTTCACAGCTTTCTCCCCCAGGTCTAGAATGTTTCCTGGCAGATGGTAGGTTCACGATAATGCGTGTTGCGTTGAATGAATGGCTTCCTTGGGAGGTTGCTGAGGACAGGAGACAGGACAGAAAGAAGCCTGTCTTGGAATAACGAAGAGAGAGTGTGCCAGCCAATGAGCTGATTCAGAGGAAGACAGCCAAGAAAAGGGGGTGACCTTGGACCCCACGTGAACCTGGAAACTAACCGTGGACTTCTCAGTGATAGGAGCCAATTATCTCTTCTCAGTTCAAGCTGATCTGAATTCGGTATTCTGTCCCCGGCATCAGAACAAAACGCTGTCTGCTTCCAGGCACCTGATACCTTGTTCCAGATACCAAGAGAGGAAAAGGGGAAGCCGGGGCTCTTGGTCCAGGTCCTGGGGAGTCATCAGTGGCCTGTCTGACACACGGGGGGAACTGACCTTACAAGGGAAGTTTCAGAGAGAAGGTGGCCCAGAGGGACGGGTAGGAGTGCAGTAGGAGGACAGGTGCACGGGGACAACAAGCTGGAAGGGCAGGAGTGGGACGGGAGGCAGTCCTCAGCCACCCTCTCATCTCAGCCCAGGTTTCTTTTTTTTTTTATTTTTTTATTTTTATTTTTAAAAAAAATTTTTTTTCAACGTTTTTTATTTATTTTTGGGACAGAGAGAGACAGAGCATGAACGGGGGAGGGGCAGAGAGAGAGAGGGAGACACAGAATTGGAAACAGGCTCCAGGCTCTGAGCCATCGGCCCAGAGCCCGACGCGGGGCTCGAACTCACGGACCGTGAGATCGTGACCTTCTCAGCCCAGGTTTCAATGCAATCACGCGTAGTTTTATTACACATTAATAGAAGAAGTGACTATTCGAATGTTTGATTTCCTGGAGTTGCCTGGCTATCAAATAACCCACCTCAGTCTCATAAGGGTGCCCAGAAACACACAGATTTGCACAAGGGTACGCGGCAGGACATGATTTGCAAGCATGCAGAACTGGAGGCAGCTGGAGCCTCCACCACTGAAGACTGGTTAATTGAGCTGAGACACGACGGTGTACTAGACAACTGGGAACCAGAGGAAGGGAGATCAACTCAAAGGGGAACATTTGTACATCGTGTCATGAAGGAACCGGTGAGTTGCAGACCACTGTTTTCTAGCGGCATGTCATTTTAACTGCTCATATGAGAGGCGGTTACATTAAATGCCTGCCCACTGGACCTGCTCGGCACTTGCCTAGCACAAACCAGGTACAGGAAAACATGGAGGGTAGTATTATCATTATGAATTACAAGGTCCATTTAAAGACTTCAAAAAAAATTTTTAAGCTTATCTATTTAGTTTGAGAGAGAGAGACACAGACAGAGAGGGGCAGAGAGAGAGGGAGAGCGAAAGCATCACGAGCAGGCTCCGCACTCTCAGCGCACAGCCCAACGTGGGCCTTGCCCTCGCGAACTGTGAGATCATGACCTGGGCCGAAATCAAGAGTCAGACGCTTAACTGATCGAACCACTCAGGCAGCCCCTAGGGATTATTATTATTTTATTTTATTTTTTTAAAGAAAACTCTCCACTCTGCACACCTCATCAGCATGGGACATCCAGCCCTAACATCTGTCCGTCCATTCAGTGAAGCGAAAGCAAGAGGAGGCTTCATACTCTGGAGACCAAAACTCATTGTAGTCAATGAGACTGAACTTGAGAAGAGATTATCACCACGTATTCCGGAGGTAATTTAATTTATACGTGCTGCATTTACATGCCATGGATTGAATTCTCAGTCCTATCACAATAGGACAATTACCAAAATGTGTCCCCTGGTAGACTCTGACCGCACCAGGTTTCATGGGTACGTTTTTTCCTACACATATCCTGTTAGACCAAAAGGGCAAAGAGCCGAGAAAAAAGCTGATAGAAAAGTTCTAGTGTGGTGGTTTCTCTATTTCTGTACACGTGGACGTCTCAAAGCTTACGAGCAAGAGCCAAAAGCAAGCAGAAACCTATTGATAAGTGACTGCTGGTGACATTCAATCTCATTTACATGGAATGAAAAAAAATACATAAATAAAGGGAGGAAAAGACCTGGATTTCCAAGGTACTGATTACTGGATTTTTCCTAATAAAAAGAGATCACAGTTGATATTATAAAAAATGTAATATAAAGGAAACATTTGGGAAAATTCTGTCGCTTCAAATTATTCACTACAGTACTGTGAATATACTTCTGCAGGCAGCATGATTTGACTATATTTTTAGAAAGCTTATCTAGGAACAAGAATGCAATGACACCAACATCATGTTTCATGGAGAACATTACAAAGCCTGGCTTTCTATTTCTTCCTCAACCCTCTGAAAGATTACCATGGTTTATGAAAGGGGCATTTTCATGGTCTCCAGAGAAAAAAGATGAAAAAAAAAAAAAGTCTTATTTAACAATGCAATTCTTTAAGGGGAGAAGTCATTTGGTGATATGTCTATCAGGAAAGTTCCTGCCCTCATTCCTTACTGCTGCAAGGTATGCTGAGCCTTGATCTCAACACCCAGTGCAGGGGGCATGAATGGATGCTCATATGTACGGCAGGTGGAAGTGGAAAGTAGCACTACATTTTTGGAGGAGTTAAAATTGGGTCGTTTCAAGTGTCTGGAGAGAATGATTGTATTCGTTCCCTTTTTTTTTTTTTCAAACTTTTATATAGTTTGATGTTTTCCTTTTACAAAAATCATAGTAGTTTCACAGTAAGAAGTAAAAAATAAAAATTACCCCGAGCCATAAAAATTTAAAGTATAGCTATTTCTTCTACAGCGTAACATGGATGTTTCTGGAAAAACCTCCCCATCTGCAAAACTGCTAGGAAAATCGGTTTATGCGAAGATCCCTCAAAACGTCCTGCCATTTTCGAACCAGAGTCCTCGCTACTCCGAGAGGCAGCTTGGAGGCTGGAGGCCACGCAAGGGTTATTAAAGAAACATGGAAAAACATTTGGTTAGAAATGTTGTATTCAGAAGGCTGGGCTATAGAGGTGGAACGCAGGCTCCACCCAAAAGGTGGACGTGGCTGGACGTGTGGCCACGTGAACAAGACATATGGCAAGGTGGGGACGCACCTCTCTGCCTGGGGCCTTCGGTGCCTCTGCTTGTTTCTTTTCTTTCTTTCTTTTCTGTTTATTTACTTTCAGAGAGAGAGAGAGAGCGAGAGTGCATGAGCAGGGGACGGCGAGGGAGGGAGTGAGAGGGAAGGGGAGAGAGAGAGAATCCCAAGCAGGCTCCACACTGACAGCGCAGAGCCTGATGCAGGACTCAAACCCAGGTACCGCGAGATCATGACCTGAGCCGAAATCAAGAGTCGGATGCTTAACTGACTGAGCTGCCCAGGTGCCCCCCATCTCTGCTCATTTCTTATCTTCTTACATTGTAGCTGGAAGAGGCTGTGTCTGTGCAGTAGTTTATTGAGGGCTCTCCCCCTTTCCCGTTAACGGTTACAATACCACTCCTGCTGTTCTGGGCTTTCCTTGCCTAGAAAAAAAGTGTTTTTTGTACCAACACACTTTGATATTAGAATGAATCATCCTCCAGTTTATCAAATGCATCTGAGCTCACCGTGGATACAGAAATGGTGCTTTAAGAAGAACCAGATACCGTATCTGACGGTCTTGTTCCCATTTTTCCATTAAATAGGTATCCTTGAACTCTTTATTAAAAAAAAATTATCCAAATCATCCATTTTGCATCCTGCAACTATTAGGAAAATTTAATACAGTCGAGGAATATCAAAGCACAGGAATATCTAGCCCAGTCTGTGTTCACAAGCCAAAACACTAAGACCCGGGCTCACACAGCAAGGTAGCAGCCAGTACCTGCTTCCCAGGACCTGAGTCTCAGGACCTTCTGACAGGCGCCTATTTGTTCTTTATTCAAGTTCAAGGTTAGTTAAATTCCAACTGCCTCTTAAAACCACGGCTGCCAAAATGGGGAACAGCCTTTACATGTGCTCATAAACGTTTGTCTGATTTTTCCAGAGCTTACGAGGTTTGGCCGCCTGATCAATAAATGGAAAGTACATTTATTTGGCTTGTCAACAAATACTTGTTGATTTTAAGGCACAGTCTATAATCTCAAGGAATTTTTGTCCAAGACGTTACAATAAGGGCTAAGATAGAGGACGTCTGAGAAAGGAAAGAAAGGGGCCTAAAAATCTGAGCAGTAGGTAGGGGCGCCTGGGTGGCTCAGTCGGTTAAGCGGCCGACTTCGGCTCAGGTCATGATCTCACGGTTCGTGGGTTCGAGCCCCGTGTCGGGCTCGGTGCTGACAGCTCGGAGCCTGGAGCCTGCTTTGGATTCTGTGTGTCCCTCCCCTGCTCATGCTCTGTCTCTCTCTCTCTCTCAAAAATAAATAAACATAAAAAAATTGTAGGGGCGCCTGGGTGGCTCGGTCGGTCAAGCAT